TATAGATATAGATATAGATATAGATATAGATATAGATATAGATATAGATCTAATATATCTATGCCCGTATATTTAACAATACAACTAACACCCAAAGAAAAGTTCCATAGTGTATTTCTAGTTGGCGTAGTTGGTATAGGTTTACAATTAATATGTCAGGAAAACCATTTTGTGCTACAAGAAGCATCCCACTATCTAGCTATTCTCAGAGAGCTTATTCTTGGCACATCCCAGTTTTTTATTTGTGCTTGGATGTAGCTTTTAAAAGATGTCTTTCCCCTACTTGTCTAAAGCCTGGTTCCTGTTCCTTCAAGCAGACGGTTGCTGGCTAACAAAGCTTGATACTTTTTGACTAAGAAATATTTCTTGAAGGATCTGTTTCTGTGAGTCTGTATCAGAGAAATACCTTTGTTGTTGTTGTTGTTGTTGTTGTCATCTTCAACAGATACCACTCTGAAGAAAAATTCAAATCACAGATATTTGCTGTTGTAAATCATATTTATTTGCATTATTGTTATTGGTTCAATTTCACTTCACCCCACTGTTTCCAACACTATTTTCCTTTTCTCTGTCCCATGTAATGAGAATAACCCTTAATCCTTCTACGAAGTAAAAATAGGCTATGCTGGTATATGCATCACAAATATTTGTCATTTTAAGTTACAACACTATTGTTTTTAGCTGTAAGGAATTGGGTTTATTAAAGTAAAAAGTGTCCAAAAACTTTTCTGGAGTTCTCTCCCTTCTTTTTGCCTCCTATTTTCAGACCTACCCTTGTTTTCTTTCTAAAATATAGGCGTAACAGCTAGCGCTAATCTAAATGGTTTATGCAAGATAGAATGAAAGCATGTAGGTTTATAATCCTCCTCACTGAAACCCATCACTGATGGTCTTAGAAACTATAAAATGAATAAGTATTGACTATTACACTGTCCTTAGATCTGTTATCCAAATCACACTGGCCATACTTTCCCATACAGTTTATTTGTCATTCATCCCAATGGATTTAAGGCACCTAATTAAATGTTTCAATCCAAGTGTTTATGAAACTCAATTTCCCATTAAAATAAACACTGTAGTGCTTTAACCTGTTATGCTCCTTGGGAAACTCAGTTTTAGTCAATGATTCAAATCTCTATGAAAAACATTCACTGGTAATAAGTATTAATGCTCTGAATTGATTGATTGATTGGTCAAGTATGCCACCTCAAACACCAGAGTAACTCTTGATGGACTTTATACCTTTCCAGAAATTCACACATAAGGTCACATCTTAAATCAGAAGCATATTATAAGCCTACAAAATATGTCTGGCAGCAAGTTTCCTATGATTTTGATGAGGACTGCAACTTTCAGAAGGAAAAAGATGAGCAGTTCTTTGAAGATGCAGAGTTATATAAAAAATACAGGTCAGTTATTTATATTTAAGCATGGTGAATTTTATTCCTTTTGTATCTTTTTATTATCACAACATTTTAAAAATTGCACATATTACAATTATGAGGGTACCATGTGGGTACCATGATACCCAAGAGGGTATCAACCAAAAGAGTGTTTCTGGTATAATTTTCCTTATATCAAACCACCTTGGATTATATTAAAATAATACTGTGCTCTAGGTTGATAATAATTCACTTAAGTTGATAGCGTCAGGTTGAAGGTTAAGTGCTTAATACAAAGGTTTCAGTTCTACTCTGATGCAACAAATTCTGTGAAAATTAAATCTTTTGAATAAGCAGTTAAGACATTCACTACATAATTAGAATTAGGTGGAAATCTAGTACAGTACTTTGTTCTACCACTACTCTGAGCAGGTACTTACTAAACACATAGATGGCACTAAGATAAGTCTGAACACTTGAATTATCAGAATGCTGAGGCAGAGATTAGTCCATTATGTTTCTGACTAATGTTAAATCAAGCAAAAGAGAAAAATCCATCTCTCACCCCACTCCTTGTTTACTAAGTGCAATGGACAAAAGATACACCTTTCTCTTATTCTGAGGGAGGAGATAGGGTTGCTTTCCGTAGATCTTTCAACTTCAGATTTTTAATACTCCTTTAATAATTTTTAAGAGCTCTGCCACTATCAGGTTCTGATGCACTAAGAAAATGTGGACATTATAATATCTTAAAATGGAAAAAAAAAAGTTCATAGGATATAATCTTGTAAAAGACAACAGGGGAAAGAAAATAACATGAAAATCCAGTAATTGTCTAAAGGAACAATGAGCATGTAATGTGACAATCTATTTAGAGTTTCATTGATTTTACATTTCACAAGAGTTTGAGGAGGTCTTCCTTATTCCTTTGCCAGCTCACTGTCCCTATCTTATGAGTTTTATTTACTTTGTTCTCTGTATAGAACAATATGTACTAATATAATTATTTTAAAAATCAAAGCAAGCTGAAAAGACTTTGGGCCTGTATCCAGATGTCTTTGTTAGTTGCCACATTTCATATAAACATGGTGGAACATAATATCGCCCCTAGAAAGGTGGCATTTACTTCTGCCAGCTGTTTAGAAAACTGTTTTATAAGATTCAGTAAATAAATGTATGCTTTCCTCAAGATCAGAGTCAGAAAGGGTCATTTGGGTCACTGAGCTTGATTCAGAAATCCAAATGAAAGACAGATTCAGTCTGTCTAGCTTTTATTCCACATCTTCATATAATCACCCATCCAATTTTCCAACATCTGTGTCCAGTTCCTTTGAATTCTAATTTATTTTTGATTTCACACATTTGGTTTGTTTTATACTTTGTTGCTGTTAGCATATAACGTAGTGTGCACAGGGCATTTATTTTTGCTGGTCTCAGGCATAAACCAAAACTGGCTGAAGAACTGCAGGAAGCCCACCATCAACAGTTTGAATTTAGAAATGGGAAGATCTTCAACTGCAGTTTTCCAAATCTTGTACTGGGTGTGGAGAATGTTGATCTTCATTCTGGCACTGAAGTGGTTTTGTTGGAAAAGAAGTCTGATGATATCAAGCAACATTGGATATGGAGAGAGGAAAACAGGTACATTTCTGTATATTAGAAATGTGATGGAACTTCAAGCATTACATTATCCCTAGCAGGACCTTCAGTCAAGCTTGGACGCTTTTCCATTTGACTTGTTCTTGAATAATGCTCATGGTGTCTTCTTCAAGTTAATTCTGAACTTATCTGAAGTCTCTCAAAATGAAAGCCCAGATAAATGATTTTTTTTAACAACAACAACAGCAACAACAAACAGCCAAAATTATAATCTATGGTTACCAAAGTCTTACATTTTCATTTTAAATAACTACTTTTTTGGTGAAGATTTTGGTAAAACCTACCTTCCATATGCTATAGTAATATGTGGTTAGGTAACTACAATGACCATATACAGTATTCTTCCTTCTTTACCCTTACGTCCATTTCTCTCCTTTTCCTGTTATCCTCTTGCATCAAGTCCTAGATTAGGGTAAAAGCTTCCATTATGCTGCTGTCATCTCTTCCCTAATCTCTCTAGCAGAACTTTGGAGATGTAATATAAACCTCTTGAGATGTATACAAAACTTTCTGTGATAAAATGAAGATAAATGCAAATGTCATTATTTTAAAACATAATCCTTTATTATTTCAGCCTCCAACTTTTTGTTTCTAGGTCCTTTCACCTTATAATTGATCCAGATCTAGTGCTCGCGGTATCAATGCCCAGTGTACTGAATGGAAGTCCAAAATTTCCACTGGAAATACAAGGGTGTCCTGTTATCCTTCAGGTAAGTATCATGTGTTATTACAGATTTAAGTATTAATACCAAATGTAGCAAATTATTATTATTTTAAATCCACAAATTGCAATTAGATATGAGCTATCTATAGAAGTATAAATATTCTTATATTCTTATAATTCAGTAGCTGAATTATAAGAATATAAGAATATTTATACTTCTATAGATAGCTTCTATGTATGTTCTCCAGATGGTTAGATATTTAATAGAAACTTCATTATATTATATTACAAAGTACAGTTGAAAACAAAACAAAGAGTACAGTAAAGATAGAGAATAGAACTAAAACAAAAAAGACAACAACTAAAATAGTGGAAATAGATAGAAAGTTGAAACAGAAAGTGATTTCCAACTATCTCCAATACAGATATAAATACAAATTGAAAAAAATAGTCTCTTACCACTAATAAATCCTAGTTCACATTATTTCTATCAGCACAAACCATCTAAGCATTAAAACCCACATTCAAAATCTCATTTATTCCCGCACAAGCACGTAATCTAAAGAAGGTTATCACAAAAATACAAATTTAGAAACAGTGTTATCTCTTATTAGAGCTGTTGACCTCTCCATTTGAACCAAGTCCATTAATTTAATAATCCATTCCTCCACTGTAGGTATTTGTGGATCTCTCAGTCTTTGAACATATAATAATCTTGTAGCTGTGGTCATATACAAAAGCAGAGTTCCATCTTGTTTCTCCAATTCTTTCTCCATCGAGCCTAGTAAGAACAGTTACTTTTTTTTGTCATTTAAAGAATCTTTTGGATAATAACACATATCTAATCCCAAAGTTTGTTAGCCTTTTCACAAGTCCACCAAACATGATAAAAGGTTCCTTCACCCTTTCAACAAACATTTATTATACCAATCTTGACAATTTATCAAGAGTTAAATATCAACAATTCATCATTTTACAAAAAAATTCTTTCAAATTGTAATTCAACATCATCATCCAGATTCATCTGTAACAACATCTTATACTTCTTAACAGTAACATATCATCATTTGTACAAAGTTGTATCTCGAAATAAATTGTTTCATTAGCAAATCTTTAATTCTTTTTATCCAACTTAAAACATTCAATTACATATAAGTAAACCAATAACATGTAAAGCCTTCTAACTCTAACTATTCTTTTATTTTTTTAAAATTTAGTTCACCCTATCCCTTCTAATTTTTCCCAATGAAAGGGAATTTTATTCTTTTTCAGAACAACTGTCAAAACAGCATAGTCCTTTCTCTTCCTTAAAATCCTTATTAGTATTTTTTTAAGCACAGTTATATCTGCATTTTCGATATTAAGTTTAGAATCAAAGTGTGCTTGCAAGACTAAATCCCTTGTTTTTCTCCTAACAAACTGTACCAACACATCTCTTGGCTTACCATGTACAATTGCACACCTAGAGTTTATATGGAGATTTTTCTCTATTTCATCCATTATATTTATTAAGTCTTCTTCTTTAATCTCAGGAATTCCCCTAAACCTTAAACAAAACTCTTTATCTCTCAGTTCCAGTGATGCAGCTTTGTCCAACTCTTTGTCCCTTTCACTTTCCAACAATTCAGCTCTATCATTAAGTGTTTTATTTCCTTCTTCCAATTTCTTTTCGATTTTGTCCAATTTTTGATCAAGCCTTTTGTCAAAATCAGCAAATCTTCAATCAAATAATTGGTTAACACTTTAGATAATGGTTTGTGTGATTTTAAGAGTATATTCTTCAGACATGCATTTCATCCAATCAAGTTCACCAGACCCATGCCTTATATGCTTTCTGCTGGACATTATTTATATTTCTTTTTCTTTCCCCCCTTACTTAAAAAATAAAAAAAGGAGAAAAACAAAACTGTTTCTTCATTCGATAGTTTCAAATTTAATACCTTTGCTCCCTCTTGTGGTCAAAAGTAGTATTCTCCAAATACAAACAGCTGAATAGCCACAACAAACAGCAAGATGGGGGGGCCCAAATCAGCAACCAATCACAGCTTAGAAAAATCGCCAAACCAAAACTTTCTCATGACATCTAAAAATAGATTGTTCACTCCACAAAAAATCACATATATAAAAATCTTTCTTTTGAAAATGAATGTAAAATGTTAATAAAAATAATCTCCCAAAAGTAGGGAAAAAAAATCCTACAAAACAGTAAAGCTTCCAGATTGCATGCTTGTAATATCAATCCTTCAAATCCAGTAAAAACACACTTTAGAAGTCCCAAAAACAATGAAAAACCAACCAAGAGAAGAAATATTTCCGTAGTAGAGATAGCCTCTTTAAATTCTAAATTGAAATACAATGCAAGTGATTTTAGAAGTGGGGTGGTCAGAAGTGCTGTCCCTTCGAAGAGGCTTTTAGATGTAGCTTCAACAAGATGTTTCACCTACTTCCCAGCTGATTGCTCTCCATTCGATCGCAATCCACGATTGTTCGATGAGTTGCAGCCGATAGAAGACACGAGGTGCAATTTGACAGCTTCTCCTTGCCCAGAGAATGCTTCGGGTCTCGGAATAAATCCTGAGACCCCCAATTTACTGTGCTAAAGTCCCAGCTTCAGCTGGAACTAACCTTCCACCATTAATTCCTCCACTGGAAGTCCGCCTTTAGATGCAATCAAGGTGCTGGTCATTATCTATAAAGCCATATAGAGCTTAGCACTAAGGTGTCTCCAGACTACCATCTTCAGCCCGAATCAACCCACCAACTCAGATATCCCAGGAGAAATTGATGATGATCCCCCATTTCCCCAAGGTGCATAGTACAGAGGCTTACAGATACTGCTTTCTTGTGGCTATGCATGTACTATGGAACAGCCTCCCACCTCAAATTAAGTTGGCACTCACAGTCTGGCTTTCCAGACACTATTGAAAATAAAGTTGTTTTGGAGGGTCTAGACTGGCTTTACAATTATGTAATCATTTAAAAAAAAATTACATGAACATTTTATTTATTTATTATGTCTTTATTTCTGTAAACTGCAGAAAGTCTCACAATGAGATATAAATTCAATGAATAGATGAAGTATACAGGAAGGAGAAGTATAAGAAATCCTATTCCATAAGTAGATCTCTGTTTGCATAATGCTCATGTGGCCCAACATAAATAAACGCTAAAAGAGTTTCTTGGTCATGTAATAAATTACAGAGGAATCCACGCAGAAAGGCTGGTCTAATTATTGATACCTCTCTTTTCTAAAACAGTGCTAGTGATCTGTTTGGTCTGTAAAACTGGTCTGCAGAGCTGGGTATTAGAGAGATCCTAACCTGGGTCAGGGATGAATAATATTTTCTTCTGTGCTAGCTGCCACCAAAACACTGTATTCTCAAAAAGCAAGATACATGGCTGTACTGATGTTGGCAGTTCTATTGTGTTCAATGGTTCACAGTTTAATGGGTATTTCACTGTGTTACCCTTACTTTCTGATAATTCAGAAAGCAATGGAAGAGCAATGGAAAATGCTCATTTTCTTTTTTTAATATATTTTTGTTAAGAATTTTAATTACAGTAGTAAAAACTAATGCAAACTAAACTTAGAGAAAGTAAATAAAATGGAAAGAAAGAATAGAAAGTGCAGGAACAAAGAAGAAAGAAGAAAAAGAATATGATGATATGATATGATATAATATGATATGATTTATATGATATGATACGATAAAAAAAAAGAAATATATAAAGAAGTGACTTCATCACAACAAGTATAAACAAGTTTGGTAGCTCTTCACCCCCTGTAAGGTTAAACAGATATCTCTTCTCCCATATCCCATCCCTTATCTATAAGCAAACCCATAAAACATCAACTTTTCAATCCTGGTGTCATCAAACAGTCTGTACAGGGTTGCCAGAATTTCATAAAAACATGTCGTGTTTTAACCTTGATCAAATAAACCAACTTTATATTTCTTCCTTTTGCTTCCAACAGTCTTCATCTTTAATTCAATCAAATATTGCATTTCCCTTTTAATTTTAAAACCTTAGCCAGTTTCTTTGGTATATCCGCTGAAGTGTCCTTTTCCAAATCATTCTCTTGGCCTGTCTCTGTAGTTCCACATTCTGTATTTTCTCTAGCTTGCCAGATAAAATTTCTTCCACATCTATCATTCCTTCATTAACTTCTTTTAGACATAGTCTATCCATAGAAGTAGACATCATTACTGACAGTGTTGATATTATAGTTGCTAACTTCTGGCTCCATTTTTCAAAAATCTCCCTTAATATTTCCAATGTTATTACATTTTGTGTCATTTTGTAAGTCCCAGTATTAACTGACATCAGACATGTATTTTTTTTCTTCTGCTTAAAATCTTTAGTCCCCTCTAGTGTCCAGTTTCTAAAATCATCACTTATGTTTTGTTATGATTTGCAACAACCAGGATAGCCAAAATAAGTCTGTTTCCTACAAAAACTTTTTTTTAACAGTTAATTCCAAAAACTTATACTAAAAATCAATATTCCAAATTTATCTGGACCCTTAATCTGTTTATAACTTTCTTAGATTAAAAATCTTATTTAGCTTTTTGCTGTTTATTTCAAATTCAAGTTCTTACACTTATAATTAAGTTTTCTTTTCTTCAGAGTTGAAGATAAACTCACCCAATGAAGACTTTTCAGACTTGTTGTTCTGAAGGTCTCTGATAGCTTTAAGATAGTTAATAGACAATTTCCAAAAGTGATTAGAAAGTGAGGTTTGCAAATTTAGTGTCCTTTAAAAGGCTGTGCTGCAATTGCAAGCAAGATGGCTGATCCTGGTCTCCTGGTACTCAAACCCATGGAAAACCACTGTCCTGTGGTCTCCTTGTGAGGAGCAGCTGTCCAGAGCACATATAGGTGATCTCCCATCTTCCTTTTCCAGAAGGACAAGGAAGAGGTTCCAAGGTTCCTTGGTCTTTGCCATGGTCATCAGCTTCACTTTCACAGAACCATCTTCAGTTTGCCATACCTCCCCTGGAAGTCAGAAGATGCTGATTCTTAAAGCCTAGAGACAGAAGTATCTACCATTTGGCAAGTCTGGAGGACTTACCTAAAGCTGAAGATTAACCAGTTTATATGCTGCCATTATGCAAAGGTTGAAGCTACTGAGTCAGGAATCTCTGATTCTCATAACAGAGAAAGGCATTTTGTTAACGGACAGATGGCAGAAACATTCCACACTAAAAAACAAGCAACCAAATGGCCATTGTCTCAAAAAGGCAGGAAGAAGAGGCCCACAGTTTAAATCCTGGGACTAACAGCTATGGAGATAGGGCAAGATTCCTGACTGCTGTTAGACCCAGCTTTGTTGTTGTATGCATGGCTTCCTAATTTTCTGTAATAAATTTATTTATCTAATCTACTTGTGTCTGGTACAAACCCTTGACACGTTAATGCAAACTAATTCTCTTATTTTTCTTTTACTTAGTCCCAGCACATTCAAGAAAGGTATAGAGGGGGGAAAAATGCAGACAATGCAAAGAGCTAAACAGATGTCATCAAATTTCTACTGTTCACTGACTTAGCCTGCTAGTAAATATGCAAAATATGATGAAAGTTTTATATGGTAATATTGTTAAGCACCAGAAGTGTACCCAGAAAAAAAAAAGATATAGGGAGAATGCACAATATTGTCTTATTACCCTGGTTATTTTAATTTTTAAATTGTAACTAAGATAAAGAGGCAATATCAGCTGAAAATTACTGAAAAAGAAAAGCAGGACTAATATCTTATGTTTTGACAGAAATACAAACAACATAAATATGGAGCTGCCAACCAAAAGTGGAATTTCACAGAAACAAAAGTTTTTAGTGCCTTTTACAGCACAATATTGGATCAAGAAATCACAGCAGCAAACTATGCTTCTATTTGCACATTTACTGTGGCCAAGACAGAGAAAATTGACCAACCAGTAAGTATTATTTGTTCTCCATGAAGGAAAAGAAAAACTTAATTCCACTAAGATGGATAATAAAGAGATGACTTATCAAATATTCTTTTAATATTCTTTTAAAAGCTCTGGATAAAAGTACCATGACTCATACACAATTGTTTGTAAAGATGAAACATTACTTATATCCCATTCTAGTTCTGCATTAATCTGCTTTTCTTTAAAAATACTTTTTTATAAAAGTATACAGACATTTAAACAATTCAAATGTAAAATTCAAATGTAAAATGCCCCTTGAAAGCATTTTCTAACAAAGTACTATACTCATTTCTAAAAATTATTTTAAAATTCACTTTTCTAAATATATTTAATCTTCTAATATACATTTTAAGATGCATTTTGTTATATTTTTGAACCAAAAATGCAATGCAAAATTCAGAGAACTAGACTGCTATGTATCCCAGTTAAGCTAAGGTAGAGATCTATAAAATAAAATAAATAAATAAATAAAAAAGCTAAGGTGGAGTTCTAAAAATTATAGCAAGCTTTGTTTAATAAATATATAGTTTAAAAATAAACATACTAGTAACAACTCAGATTACAGAATTTTACTAATATACAGAATCAGAATCATCTTTATTACGGTCACAGACCAGAACCACAAACAAAGGTATGTTAAAAAATTCATTAAAGTGAATTAAAATACATTAAAATAAAATAAAACTAAACAT